AGGGTTCAGGGTTTAAGGTTTAAAGTTTAGGGTTTTTTGTAATATGGTTTAGGATCGAGGATTTATGGGGTCTAATTTTATCATTGGGTTTAGGATCTAGGTTTTACGATGTAGGGTTTAGGTCTAGGTCTAGGGTTTTTGTAGCTCGTTTCTGGGGATTTACGGTGTTCAGGGTTCATGGGCTCGAAGTTTAGGGATCGGGATTTTCAGGCTTAAGGCTTTAAGGGTTCTGGGCTTAGGGTTTGGGGCCTTAGGCTTCTGGGGGGGGGGAGGGTCTCAGCTTTGGCGCAAAAGTCCTCAGGGCTTAAAAGTTTTGTGACCCATAGTTATGAGGCAGGTTGCTGGTCCGTTTGGTTATATCAAGTATAGACCCTGTAGTACTCATGACCCAGGAACCCACTATACAGCGTACTATACAGGTAAACGGGCTTTCAAGAGTGGCATTTTGCATTGCGTACACTACAGGTGCCGGACCTCTTGCCTTGAGCCCCCGTTCCGGTTATGATAGCCGAGAGCTATAATCAGCTTTAACTCTCGGCCCAAGTCCTCCAATCCTGAAGTCTCACATGCGGGGGGGTGGAGGAAAAACTCGGGGCGAGCAGTTGGGACGCACTGCAACATGTCCTGTGCAAAGTGAAACCAAGGCTGTTTTAAGCTCCGAGGTATTCCCGCTAAAGCACCACGCCAGGCTTTTTGTGCCGACTGCTCGCCCGACCCATCTTAAGAAGTCAAACAGGATGGCTTGGGTCGTGCATGTTCCCGGGCATCCTGTGCTGTGTTCGTGAACGCTCGCAAAGTGCTGTCGCCGGGTCCCAGGCAGGCCGTCTTCTTCCTGCCAAACTGCGCAGACCCCTTCAGCAGCCGCTGCTTAAGAGCTTCACAAGGAGCCTTGCTTCTCGTCTGGTGGCGTTTGGGGGTGGGCCTCCAAGTATATCATGGTATGGAATACATCATACACATTGCAGGAGAAGGTTCAGGCAGCGCATCGCGCGGATGCTCTCGGGTAGCTGGAGTTCGAGTTTAGTCTAAGGGCCCAGTGCGGTGATTATCTCCTTTGCACCGGGGGCTCCGGGGGCAAGTGGTATGTAAGCCCGGACAGAGTTTGGGTTGTCATAGATATCTTGACGGGTGATACACAAGTTGCCAACCTAACCCTAATCTCTTAAGCCCCTGCACCCTCTAACCCCTTGTAAGCCCTAAACCCCGATGAGTCGAATGCCTGGGCATAAAATCGAAAGAAGGTCCTGATATACGACTCGGATGGAACTAGCTCCCCAATACCTTTGTGGGGAGGGTCGTTCGAGGCCGAGTTCCATCATCGTAGTGTATGTGGACGCCTAAACCCTAAACCCTTAACCCTAAACCCCTAAATCCTTAAACCCCTAAGCCCTCTAGCATCCGGGAATCCAAGGTCGCACCCTCCACACGAAAGCCGATACCTTGCCACGTCCGTGAAGCCCGAAGCCTTTAGCCAACGGGTTCGGATTTTGCGATTTCGAAACTCAGTTTGAAACAGGTCCGGTTTAAGGGTTTAGGGTTTAGGGATATACAGCCCCCGGGCAAGTATCTCAAGAGCAGCCGAGGTTCAACATCCCTCACTGCAAGGGGAACATGGAGGATTTGCAAAAGCTCTGTCGTCGCGGGCAACTGACTTTGAGCGTTCCCCACCCAGCTGGCGTGGACGTGAGCCCCCTATCTTGTCGGAAAATGATTTGTGTTGTATGCCACAGACCCTAAACCCTACCCGAGACCCTGAATCGTATTGTGAGAACTCTGCTCATCCCAGAGACTCTGCAATTCGCCATCCGAGCTGTTGAGCCTTCAAGCCCTGAATCCCTAAATCAGAAACCACGAGATCCTAATGCAGCGGCCTGAATAATTAGAATAGGAATTTGGGCTCCTTTGTAGTATTATTGTATTAAGGAACCCTAAACCCTAAACCGTATATTAAGGAACCCTAACAGTAATATTGGTAGTTATTTGGACTTCCCTTAGGAACCTCGCCTGGCCTGTCCGAGTTGTGAGAGCACAAACCCTTAGCTCAAAAAGCACTTGGGTTTAGGATTTCGGATAGTAGTAATGTAGGCTAGGACATAAGGGAGTTTAGGACTGTATATGTAAAGTCCCTTCGATTTTTTGGGGTGGTGCCCAAAACTCGAATGACAGAGCCTCAGGCAGCGATGCCTACGAGCCCCCAAAGGGCCAGGCCCTGCTCCTGCGCGAAGAGCATCTTAGATAGCCAATGGGAGAACTTTAAGTTTTTTGGCCTTATATATGAGGTCTATCCTAAAAAGTTTGAACTTTTTTGGGCCTGGTTGTTGAAGAAGAGAGGCATCTGTGTCATCAACCAGTTGGGCTTAAACCTTTAAACCCTAAACCTTGAACCCTAAACCTTAAACCCTAAACCAAAAAAAGGCTTAAGGGTTTACAGTTTTATGGTTTAGGAACCCTAAACCTGGATTGTTGTCCTTGTAAGGGATTTTCAGTCGACTTCGCACCATGAACCTCGCCTGGCATGTCCGAGTTGTGAGAGCGTAAACCCTAAACCTTAAACCCCAAACCCCCCAACAAATATCGGCTTAAGGGTTTCAGTTTTAGGGCTTATAGGACGAGTGCAATGTGCTGCGAGGGGGCAGTGTAGCCCTAATCCCAGAGCCCTTTTCTGATGCTCCCGGCCCATCCTTGCCGCACTTCGCGGAATGCCCTCGAGTTGATCGGGATGATGGTTCATGAGCCTGCAACGATAATCAAGATGGATGCCTTGGCGGGAGCAGCTTCTGCTAGGATTGCTGATGAACCCTCAACCCTGGATACTGCCCCCTCTCAGTAACAGTTGAGTAATATTCAGAATATGGATATATATATATATGTATATATATGATACCCCCCCCCTCCCGAAGCCCACGCCTTGGCCAGTCAAGAGTTCTTTTACATCCCTCTTGGCTGCCAGGTAGTGGGTCATGGGTGGGGGTTGGGTATTTCA